CCCGCAGTCTTGGATGTCACCCTTTTCTTTGTATATTGGTATGATCACGCTATCTCTCCACCTGTCCCATTCTTTAAACTAAATTAAAATAATTTTTAAAAAATCTTAAAGCCAGCCCTTATCAATCATATAGTTATCAAGCTTTTTCTTAAACTCAATTAAATTTACTGCCTCTACAACATTTGAAGGCCCCATTCCAAAGGACAACCACCCTGTTAGAAAAATGAAACTGTCTTAGCTGAAGATGATTACTACCTTGCCAAAATTGATATTTTTGTGACCGAGTCCTACTATTCTCATTGTTAAATTTGAAAAAAGATGATGCATCAACACTATGAATTCCCTTTACAATCTTAAACACCTCAATCAGATCCCTCCTAACTTTTCTTTTTTCAAGAGAAAACAATTTGAGAGATTTCAGCCTCTCCTTGTATGACAACCCCCCATCACAGGCACCATTCTAGTAACCCTTCTCTAAACCCTTTCCAACAATTCAATGTCTTTCCTAAGGTAAGGAGCCCAAGACTGAACATAATATTCCAAATGTGGCCTAACCAGTGACCTTTACAATGAAATTATAACCTCTTTAGACTTGTATTCAATATTTTGGTAGATACAACCTACAATCCTATTTGCTCTACCACTAGCAATAGCAGACTGCTTGGGTGGCTTTAGAGACTGACTGATTATTACACTAAAATTCCTTTCCTTCATAAGATTATTAAGTTTATTTCCACTCAAATTATACTTATAATTCAAATTATGATAACCCACATGCATTATCTTGCATTTATTACAATTAAAACCCATCTGCCATTTATTTGCCCAACTCACTAAATGAACGGCCAAGAAGAAAGCGAAGAAGGCAGTTGCGCAGGCAAAAGCGAGTGCAGTAAATGACCGAATGAAATACCAGCAGAAGTGTGGAAATGTTTGGGAGATGACGGAGTCGAGGTGCTGTGGGATCTGTTGAGGAAGGTTTACGAGCAGGAGGAGATACCAGATGAGCCGAGATGGGCCAATAGGTCCCATGTTGTCCCAAAACATTATGTTACGTGTGTTTTATTACTATGAATGTTTTCTGATCAAATGATAAAAGAACAAATATCAGTTAATACCTGGCATTACTGTGCTGTCTTTTATATATGATTCCTACATATTTCTTACATTGACATACTGTCTGAGAGTAATTTGCTTGAATTAGTCATGCAAGCATTTTAACACTTTTTATGCACAGGAAAAGAACTTGTACAAGAAATGATATAATATAGCATCTCTAATTAGGTGACTTGGCTGATTGTGAAAGTGTCATTCTCCCATATTAATGTATTATTACTAATTATTTCGTTAAGAACGACATAATGCAGGTAAATACATGGACTTCCACACCAGATAGGTGGCATGAAATAATATTTGCAATTTATTTATGTAGTTTTATTGAAGTTTTGTGTAGTAGGTGTTACTTTTCTCTTAACACTAGTCTGTGGTGTTATTCTAAACTCTAATAATATAACCTTTTTATGTTTTTATCTTGAAAGAAACTTAGGCTCATAAAGTAAGTACAATTTTAAATGTTTGAACAAGAAAGCAAGATATTCGCATTGATATTATCTGTAAGGGTACTGAAGACATTTTTTTTTTGTCTATTAAGATGCTACCTTCCGGAAATATCATACATGTCAATTAATTGTTTCATATTTATGAATAAGACAATGTTCTCAGTCATTCTGTTAATGTATTGTTCAGAAAATTAAAACTATATTTTAAATGATTTTATAAGCCTAACTAATTAATATGGTTTGTAATGTTTCCACCTTGTTGGAAATTCTCGTCACTAGGACGTTTCACGTGACTTATCTGTGGAGGATCTGGAGAAGCAAGAGTTCTGCTTCACACTGTATAAATTTAATGGACATAAGAACATCACCAAAGATGTAAGCATTAAAGTATGTTACTTTAATTTAAAAACATATACTGTTTGGTTATTAAGAATTTAATTTGTTCCATTTTGCTTTGGGTGTATGTTGAAATAATTTTTTTTCTTTGATAACTTCTTAACTATCTAATACCATACAAACTAGAATTTTCTGTTTAGTGAAGAACCTACTGAACTGAATAATTAATTAATTACAGTAAATATTAAACTCGGAACTTGTCTACTGTAAAAGTTGCTGTTATTGTGTTTTTTAATTAAGTAACCTAGAATTTTGTCCAACTAAATAATATGTGTGTGTGTGTGATTTATTTACCATTAGCCAACTGTATCTTCATCATGATATATTAACCCTAGAACTATATGTGAGTCCATGTGGATCCCATTGAATTTTTAAACACATCTTTCAAATTTATTTATGTACCAAATTGATTGTGCATCTATCAATTTGTTGTTTACAGTGTCCCTAACAACGTATTTATAACAAAAGTTGTCTACTACACAGAAATATCATCAACATTGCAATTAATCTCACAATTTACTGTTCGGGTCCCCTAACAGAGAAATGAGTGACTTCACCCAGTTCTTTAGCTTAGTTTTTTATTTTGAAGGCTGTACAAGGCAAACATGCAAAATATCTCAATATGATTCAATTTGTGTACCCCATTAGTAGTAAATATTACAAAAACAAGTTTGTAATTTAAGGATTAGTTTTAATGTCATCTCTTACCAGATCATAGTAGTGTTTGATTACAAAGCTTTAATGGTTAGCCATGAGGCATAGGTATTATTGTTATACAAGATATAATATTTGTATTTTTTAAAAGCTTAAACTTGGAGCTAAAGCTGCAAAGTGTATTGCTTTTACAGTTAGGGAACTTGTAACAACTGAAAGTGAATTTAGATGTATGTTTCTGTAAAACAAATTAATGACTCAAAAGCACCAAGTTTAGGAATTTTCTTTATTTTAATAACTGTTTTAGTGATCTTTGGTGCTCTCTTATTTCAAAATGATGGGAGGAATCAGTTTATAATACACAACATAAAACCAAATCTGTTATCCCTTCAGGATACTGAGGGACTAGTGCAGTCTATTCATGATGCTCTAGGGAATTCGATCAGACTTCCTCCTTCTGGTAGCCGCACCGTCAAGGTCAAGTTAGCGGTCTCACCCAACTCGGCAAGCTCAGAGGAGAAAGATGATGTACTTCACTGGAAAGACAAAACTAAAAAGAAGCCAGTGTATGTGAAAAAAATGGGGAATGCACTCAAACAGAGTAGTATTAATTTATCTTGTTCATCACCAGAAAAAGAGAGCTCAAAACGCAAGTGCCATGATGTTTCCTCTGAAACTGCCAATTTTCTAAGATCTTCCTCTGAAGTAAAGCCAAATATTTGTTTCCTGGCTGCACCCAAATTCAAGCAAGGGTGCTGGTCAAACTCTCTTCAGAGAAGGAGGGTTAGTTTGGAAACAGCTTGTCTTGACTGCCCTGACAGACATGGGTAGGTAGTTGGTCATACCTAACAGTATATTTTCTTTGATCAAGATTAGATGAAATGTTTGTGTAAGTTTTGAGAATTTTTTGTCGATGCTTAGTCAGAAGTTTGTTTAAATGATGTCTCTTGAACATTTGTATTTGATGTTGGAAGTTTTATTGGGAGCTAAGGCATGTATTGTGATCCTGGTGGAGTGTCAGGTAATTAAATCAAGTTGTGCATTTCTGTTATTTCCAAAGTTTTAAAACAGTTTTGTTTTTATTCACACTTTTCAAAAAATATTCTTAGTTATTATGGAAACCTTTTAATTTTAAAGGAAACCGTATGGAGAAGAACGTCAGCATAAACAGCACCGTAGACATCGTCGTTGTTGTAGAAACCACCTGAGTGAAATTTGTGTTCATCATGATAACTATTTGAACAAGAATGCATGTGAAAAGTTACCCCATGGTTGTTGTGACTCATTTTCTTATGGTATGTGTGACAAAAACCACTTGAACCGGCAAGCACCCTCCCACCAGGAGGACTCAGACTGTGTTAAAAAACTTGGTAATTATAGTCATCAGAAATCAAAGTCTTATGATGCCAATTCTACACTTAAACTTTCACAAAATCTTGTTTTTTCTGACCAGAAAGACAATCTCTCCAATGTAAATTCTGACCTGTGTGGCTTGTTCCCTGAGAAAAAGTTTAATTGGGAACAGAAAATTACCCAGAAGTGGCCCGAGTCTTTTGGTATGTATGATCACTCAAAATCAGGAGGGGTGAATTCTCCTAAAATACAGATAAAGACAAATAGTGGTGTAAAAGCAACAGGTTCTGAACCACAGGTACCTCCAAATCATCATCACAAGCATAAACATCGGGAATACCAGAAGATGCAAACAATGCAACAGGTAGCTGACCAGTTAGAGAGTACGCATCTTGGTGTAACATCTAAGGAAAATGGTAGTAGTAACACTCAGTCAGTGATTCAGAGATACCATCACTTCCATGAACATGTGCATCATCACTATTACCATTATTTACCTTCTTAACTTTTGCTGGAAAGGTTTCAGTGCTGCCACATACTAGGCTATTCCAAGTTTGTCCTGAAGATACAAAGTAAGTTGTAGGCCCCACTAGTACGTTTACTAAGGTAAAAATAACTCCCAAAGAAGATAACCCTTTCAATGATGGAATTTATCCATAGTCTTGAAATTTGGTAATAATGAAATAAAGCCATTTTCATGAAAAGTTGGTTTACGTTTAGAAACCTCCATATTTGTTTTAGTGAAACTACAGTGTCAACATAAACGTATGGGTGCCATGTGTAATTATGATGCATGACATTTAATAATAACTATATTTTGTACAGGTTTTGTTTTGTATAGTAAAACATTATAAATAAGTCACTGATGCTACTCCAACATCAGTGTACGTTGTGAACATCGTTCAGAATTCTGCTTGTGGTTCGACTGATCCTTCAGATGGCAATCCATGATGTACAGTAAATTTTATATATTGTAAGTTTAAACAGTTCGCTACAAGCTGCATGATCTATGGTCATATTAAGATAAAATGAAAAGTCTTTAAATTAATATGGTCATATACCATTTTTTACAAAGATGTTCACTTATTAAAGAAATCTGATTAACTGCTCGTATGTACAACAGGGACCACTTGGACCTTCTAGGCTATCCTTGTACATCCATCTTTAAGAAAAGTGAAACTTTAAACCCACCCTTTATATTTAAGGAAATCTTACATTTCCCTCTTAGGCTTCTGTAAAATGGTGGATCAAGTACTGACCCCTGAGGCACAATCCCCGTAAAAAGGGTCCAGTTTGACTGGATGTTATTAATAACAACCTTTTTCAATCATTCAATAATCAAATTAGTGTTAACCCAGTTCTTTTTTTTTCAGCTAATATTCTGTGAAGCACATTATAAAAAGATTTTTAAAACTTAAGAACATGAAGTTTACATTTTTCATATAACAAGTGACATTCTTGAAAGAAGATTAGTATGGCAAGATTTACCTTTAGTGAAACCCTAATGGCTTTATTATATCATATTTCACCAAATGATTTTGTGAAGCATCTTTTACCCGATTCTTAATCTTTCTATTACAGAAGTAAGACCATCTGGCCTATAGTTTCCAGGGTAACACTTATCACCCCATTTGAAAATAATAGTAACATTAACAATTCTCCGATCCTCAGGCCCCTGCTTACTGATTTACGAAAAAAAATGCAAGAGAAAGACTTTTATATCTGACCTTTGATTTACTTTGGCACCATTGAGAAAACCCTTTGGTCGTGGTACTTTAGCTGGTTTTAAACATAGTAAACTTTTAATGGCTACTTATCTTTAAGTACTTGTATACAAATATGAATGGGACACTTATTATGGCTGGTAGACTCGGAGTGTATCTAAACTTGGATGGAACCACAGCAGAGATTGTATTTGTTTTGATTGAAAACATCAAGAATGCACAGGTAAAAAAACCTGTCTGTGTTAATTTCGTTATTAAAGAAAGTATAATAGAACCTAATAAACTATTTATATTAAAAAAACTTTATTTCAACTTTTACTGGTTCAGATATATTATTTTTAAAAATGTCCTCTAATTTCTATAAGGTTGTTACTTTTGAGAATATATTTTACAGAACTGTTAGTGATATTTTTAGAATAAATACAATTGAAATGGTTATCATATTAGTTGAAGTTATTTTGATTCTATTTTGTATGATGCATAGAAATATTGATTAGCAATTATTGTTCAAGTTTTGAAAAGATGTGTTCTAACTACTTGTCGATAGAAATTATCAAAGCATATATTTATATATTTTTTCTAATTGTAATACAGAGATTAATAATACTTTTATTAATGTTCATAAAATGTTGATTTTAAAAATTCATAGTTATTTAACAATTAGGTTTAAAACAAAGTACGAATTACTATAAATACTGTATTTTTTTATGCGGTTTATTCAGTTGTTAAGTAAAAATGTACAATTTTTTTTCAAATTAGGAAAATGTTTCTGATATTAAAAAAAACTCAACAAACTTTCATGTAATATTCCTCCCTAACAATAATATTGAATGTTATAATTAAAAAACAGAAGTAAATAGTTGGTTTTAACAAAGGACCTCGTGTGTGTAAAACAATTGTAAGTTCTTTAAACAGATTTCAGATAACAGATTTTTTTTTAGAGTGTATCTTATATTCAAAACTTACCAAAACCCCTTAGCTAGTTACAGCAACACTGTTGTTATATATATATATAACCTTGCTTATGAAAAACATTTTTGATAACATGGCTGCACATATATTTGGTTGTCATGTTGGTGAGAGACAATAACACCAAAGTCATATATATATTTTAATCTTTGTAGTTATGCACATGTAGACCAACACTTCAATAGACATTAATGAAACCGAAATAATGAAACTTTGGAGAATGGACGGCAACTGCCTGTTGTAGAAATAAAAATGTAGAGGACAACGTTTCGAAAGTCTTCTGCCTTTCGAAACATCATCCTCTACATTTGTGTCTCTACAACAGGCAGTTGCCGTCCATTCTACAAGGTTTCATTACGAATATTCTGCCTAAACAATCTATCAAAGAAACAGAAATAATTCACGAACCTGTATATAATAATTTTCTACAAACATTGTATACTTGCTTGTTACGCTATTTTAGGAACGATTTGTAATATTTTTATTCTAGAACCAAAGATTGTATTCACATTACATTCAAGTTCCAGAAAAGAAAATTATATTATACACTACTAGAATGAATGTAAAGTTTAGTATAGTTATAAATTTTTCTAATTTACCAAACTTCTATCTGAAATCAAGGTTCAATTTGCAGCATCCAATACACTCAACGCATTTTAAAAGAATACAAACTTTTTTCTTATAAAGCTCATGTATTACTGCAAGATGAAACTTGTTCTATTTTTGACATTGTATACAGTGATTTCTAATGATATTTATTGCTCATCTGCAGTATGTGTAGTGTACAGAAAATTCTTCTTCGTGTAATCTTCCTTTCTTCCCTACAAAATAAATACTGTAAGTATTCTTTGATGGTGTACGTACTGATTTTCCCGTACGTAAGTGATGGATATTCTGGCTCGTTCTCCTTATCCTATTTGATGTTTAATTTGGCACTGCGGACAAGGGCTGAATTCCTAAATATTAACTATAGTTATTTAAGAAAATCGTGCATAGTGTATCTACTACATCGAACCTACATGACCTCTTTTAGTATTGAGCAAAATAACTCAATTTGTAAATGATTAGTTGAAATTAGGGATGCACGGGTACCCAGCCAGATATTTGGCTCCCGGCCGGGTGTTGGGCTACCCGGTAATACTCGGCTCCGGCCAAGTGTCGAAGTTAGACATCTAATCCCTAATTTTTGTGGTAACTAATACAGTACTGAAAGTTACTGTCAATAATTAATTTAGTTTAAAAAAAAAAAACGTGTTCCGAGCAACAACGACTGACTGCCCGCTGAAAGTCGAGGAGTCAGAGAACAATAAGGGTTAATATCAGGTATGGCTTGAGAAGTGGATTTCTGGGGAAGTGGGGTTTTTGAGAACAACAGGGGTTAATTAGGGATTGAGAAGTTTGGGCTAGGCATTGAAAGTAAAACTTTAATGTTCTGTTGGTGATTATTCGGTTAAATGTAATATATGTCAATTTTCTTTGGGAGGGCAAGGGGAGTATTCGGTCCCGGTTGAAACCCGACCCCGGTATTTGACCATATTTTACTACCCTTGCATCCCTAGTAAAAATTTCACTGGAATGCCATCTTTACTACAATCACTAAAAAGAAATCAAGGTGACATTTTACCTTGCAAGGTTTTTAGTAACCTTATGCTTACAATTCTGAGTGCTTTTATTGAAAACTACTGCTCTTGGTTAATCCTGGTATTGGCTTTGTTGCCTCATGGGAACTAACATTTTCATACAACTGTTTATTACTGAGATTTCATTGAAATTATTCTTTTATAAAAATGTCTGTGAACTAAAAGGAATTATGAAGTTTGAGATACGAGTGTTCGTAATCCCAAGCTTTAGTATCTGTTATTTAAGAAACACAAAACAACAATTCACTGTATTTTAGTTACTTTTATGCATGCTAGGATAGTTAGTTGACAAGTGTTATTACAAACTTATACCAAAAAAACTACAAAATCAACAGAAATCTTAAGTTATTTAAGATTTAACAAATATATAAACCAAATATATATATATATATATATATATATTCACTAGACTTAGTTGGTTCATAAAAAATAACGAGAATAAAATTCAATTCATAAGTAATATTTAAAAAAAAATCCTTAATCTTTGAAAATAGAAGCATAGAGGATAACAGAATATAAACTTCAAAGCAATGCGGTTAACATTCCATTAGGATAACATACAAGATTTTTCAGTTATTAAAATTCTTTATGGTATGTACATTTAATGACAACCAGACAACTATATCTGGCAGTGGTCTAAACAAGACTTCTTACAGCAAATATTAATCAGATTTGGTCAAAAAAATGATGTTCTGAAGTGATTAAAATAAAATCTTGTTATAAAAAAATAAAATGACTTAAAATGATTTCGATGCTTAGTACGAGGTTGACAAGACAAGTGCATCAAAAATGATTTGTTAAAAACATTTCTACTAATTACGGCTCAGATAAAGTGATTATTTGCATTTAAACATCATGAAAGCAAGTTTTGTACCATTTCGTCTTCGTACATTTCTAATGATGTTAATACATCTTGGGAGAAAGTCATGATTTAACAATGGACTTGAACGAAAGATGGAAAAAAGCAAACACAGTATTAACAAATTTGGCTGTAACTTTTCTGTTATATGAAGATAAAAGTACTTTCAAAAGTTACAAGACAAGGACTTGTTAAATATACACTGCAGCACTATGAAATCAATCGTAAATTCAAGGAAGGAAATATAGCTATTGATTTCAATATTTTTGGACAGCAAAGGATAAAAGCAGAAAATTACTGTATATGGTTACCCGAGAATGATTTACTAAAGATGCATTGCATTACCATAAAACAGCAATCTTAAATTTACAGAAAGAAATTAGCTATTGGTTTCAATGTTCTTGTATAGAACCCTTGAGCTTTTAATGTAACATTCAGAGTTCTTAACTCAATTTCAAACGCATCCCACCATCTTTCATTAGTTTTGCTTGAAAACTATTTATTTCTGCTTAATGGAGATCAGAAGAGAAAATGTATTAAATTTTAAACAGTACCTTTTTTTTAGGGTTGCATTTTAATGTCAGATAAAATAGTTGGTTGTGTTATGCTACTATTCATACCATGATGCCACTGTTGTATTAGTTTCATATCAAACCTAATCACATCAGGAGGATCTGGCTTTTGACCAGATAATATGACAATTTAGCACACCGAATTCTCATTTAATAGTTTTTTCTTTACTCATTTGGATTTACTACCTTTAATAAAGCTGGTTAATCAACATAATTTATAAAAGAAAAACTAATGAAATTTCATAATACGTTTATTACAGATTTACGCAAAGAAATATGAAAAAGTATTGAAATATTCTACGTAGTGATGCATTGCTAAGTTATTTTACCGTCATTAAATTTTCAATTAATAATAATCACTTAGTTTTGATTCTCTACTATCAAAGGAACACTGATACTTATAATTTTTATGTATTCCATTTTAAACAACACATTTGTGTATAAAGTTTTGTATAACTGCATCAATTAACTTTTGAGATATGTTGAAAAATGGAGCAAGTGTACGCTTATTGATTCCAGATCATTATTAACAGCTGGGACTTCAACTCTCATTCCACTTATTAACAGCATTAGTTCTTAGATTTCATTTCAACAAGCCAAACCTCTTTCATTCATGCTTAGAAAAGTTTATCAGCAATAAGTAAGTCACACACTGTATATTATTTTCATAATTAACGCAGATCAGAATATTATGCGACAAACCTTGACCATCATATGGTGCTTCTCCTAAGACAAAACAAAAAGAACTTCAAACTAATTATATATATATATATATTTGTGTGTGTATCTACATAGTCCCATGTGATACAAACTCACATTTTACAGTCAGCTAAAGATAAATGGCATACTTTACACATCTTGAACAGACAGCAGAATTTAGTGCTTGCTGCCGAGTTATTAGACATTTAATCTGCAAACCAGTTTGAAAAACAAATTCTAAATTATAAACACTAAATTATTATGGGCATAGAATTATATGATTAAAACTCAGATGAGCAACCGATAATGGTAAGTCAAGGAAAAATGTCAAACATTAAAATGTTAGGAATTTGCGAGGGATGGATTTAATGAAACTTTATGTTGGAAATGTGATCATAACAGTAACACTGATGACAAAAAATTAAAATGTTTTACTACTCAGTACAAGTTTTTTAAAAACAGTTTGTCATAAGCAAAGTTCTACAGCATACTTTTATATCACTCCATATCCTGAAATTTAAGTTTTACTTTTTACATAGATACTATCATTTAACCAGTATGTAAATCCCTTGGATTTGATCTTATAATTTACTTTTTTGTAAATGCGTTAAAAACATGTCAATTATTTAAAAAAATACGAAATGGAATTATTTAAACATACTCTAGTAAGAGAGGCAACTGTTGTAGTAGGATCTACATTACTGATCAAATCTTATTTGTAAGTATCATGTTTAAAACTGTTATAGACTATTTAATCTATAATAAACACAAGTCATTGGGTTAAATTATGTTTTCTTGTGTCAACTATAATCTAGCTTTACTACATAATTTTAGCCATCTTTCTAGAAATAAAATAATTTGTAATGGCAAAGATTCCTAACATGATAAAATAACAATGAAAAATTAATATATTTGATTCTCAAACGTTAGGCTTAACAGTGTTGATTATAGGCTACTGGCATTTAGTGTTGAGTATTTATTTCCGGGCTACAAATACACTGGTTAAGACTATTGTAGGATTTATGCATTAACAGTTTGTTAGGTGTGATGGGTATAATGAGTGGGTTTTACTTGGGAACTCGGGACTGGTATGTACTTTTATGGAAGCTAGTAGTGAAGATGCGCAATTTGTTTGTAGATTGGAGGCTATCGTAATTAAAGTCGAGGCAATAGATAAATAGAAGTGTAGACTGTAGGAAATGGCAGCAGGATTTTAAGAGGAACTTAAGTTTTTACATGCAATTATGGAGGCAGTAAATTTAAGTGAGTTTAAGAGAAAGTTTCATAACCATATTAATGATAAGGTCTGTCTTTGATATTTTTTTAAAATTTATTTATTTAACAGTTTTAGTTTAGGTTAAAGGATGGGACATAGATGGACCAATAGGTCCCTTGTTGTCCATAAACATTATGCCTAACATATCGAAATGTAAACTTTGAACATACATCTTAAATTTTTTTAACATTTGATAAAACAACTTGCACCTCAGTCTTTATATATGTGCATCATATTACATTTTTATGCATTTATCGGTATATTTTCTTCTTAAAAAAGTTAAAAAATACTAACTAAATTATGTAAAAGGTTTTGGAATGTAAATGATTAAATTCATATTTTGCTTCATATCTGTTTTTTTTTTCCATTTCAAAGCTCTGTTGATGTGACCTTTAGTAAACTGCACAAATAATGCTTCACCTATGTAATGAAATGTGCAGCATGCACTTGTTTTTTGTGGAAGTTAGACACTGTTGTGCAAAGCTGTGTTGAACAATGACCTTCATGATTTCATTGCCTTAATATGACAGTAATCCTTTTCCTATAGTGAATGTATAAAACACATGTTCAGAACTGTAATGGTGTTTGCAACTTGGCAGTGATAGTTAACTTTTCTATTAGTGCTTTTAAAATATCAAACTTTTTGCAATGAAGCACATAAAACTACATAAATATACTCCATAAACTGCTCACTGTTGACTTCCACATAATCATTTTAACAGCTAAGAATATAAAATCGTTAACAATTTTTAAGATACATATAACAATTTAGTAAAATGCAAAAAAATAATTAAAGAATAAGCAATGAATAGTAACTTGGCTAAAGCATTAATAGCTATGACACTCTAAGGTATCACCACCTTCACCCACATTGTGTTTTTTCTCAGCCAGTAATTTTAAACAGTATCTAACTTCATGATTATCCCTGTCACTAGTTTTTCCAAATCTTTTCTGCGACGGTTTCCTGTTTCCATCACCTCTTCATGATTGGCTAGCGGCTTTTCCGAGTCATGTTCCATGACACAAATGTTAGTAATCAGAGACATTCCAAATACTCTAATCCCACAGTGTCGAGCGGCAATCACTTCGTGAGCTGTGCTCATACCTAAAACCAGAAAAATACATACTTCTGACAATGATTGTGTTGACGAGTTCATCGTAAACCAAGTCATCTTTCAGCAGGACAAAAGAGAAGTTTAATAAACACATCATCAACTGAAGCTAGAAGAAATGATGAATAAATGTATTTGTTGTGAATGTTCGTCAGTCTTAACTGGATGAGTTTTTATCATTTATGATTTCTTGGTGTAATATTTTAGTAAACAATATTAAAAACGGTGACCTGCCATCAGCAAGACAACAAAAGTGCATGTTTTTCAATTATGTTTAGTTTTCATGCCATTACATAAGTAATGTTCTAAAAAAAACTATCTACAGGTGACTATAAGACTTATAGTAATGAGTCAAGCTTTAGGACGAGGTATGACATAATAATAATTAAGAGAAATGAACAACAGTCCCTTGTAACAAGACATGCACAAAAAAAAGCATTGTAAATTTGACACTGCTCGAGTAAAAATGATATTCTATTGTTTTGTATTAACTTACCCACTGCATCTGCACCAAGTAATGTCAGTGCCATCATTTCAGAAACCGTTTCATAGGATGGACCTCCCAACATGCAATAAACTCCTTCTTGCAAGTATTTCTCCAAGTTAAGTTCTTTAGCTACTGTACGAGCAAGCTGTCGGAGTCCTAAGTCATAAGCGTTGCTCATGGGAGGAAAACGTGGGCCCCATCTAAGTATCGTAAAGATAAATAATCACAAAACACTCATATGTGTGTGTGTGTGTCTGTATAATCTTTTTTTTTTTACTTACAGAATTCAAAAGAAGCTTTAAAAAAAAACAAAAAACCTTTAGGTGAATAATTCATATTAGGTCAGTCGACGACATAACATATTCACCTTAAAAAAATGTTAGGATAAGATGACAATAAAAACTAAGGTGAGCCTTAAAAACATGATACAAAATATTACAAAAGAATAAAATCGGTTACCATCTAAGAAATAAAATAAATGGGTGAATTTTCCATGAGACATCTTTTTCAGAACTGTAAATACAGATCACAAATTAAAAGAAAAATTTACCCTAAATATGAACATGCACTAAACAATCTAGATAAAACAAAGCTCTGAAATTTCCAGTATAATTAATTTAGCAATAGTGGCCAAACAATCACTCACGTGATCCAAGTCATGACTGAAATAAAGAAAGACCTTTTAATAATGAAGAGCAAACAAAACTGCAGAGAGACATATAAAATGCTTATCTTGAAAAAATATTAGAATTTTCAACCTGAAAGGCACCTTATAAACACATGGGCTAAATAGCTAGGTTGGAGTCCCCCTGGAATTCAGATATAGTCATCTTTAATTTTAGACTACTGACGAGAGGGAAGACATCCAGTTAAATGCACTTGTTGCCACGAGGGATTTGTTCAACTTTGACCCACATAACAGGACTGTAACACTTATAATGTATCCACAGCTGAAGGTAATAAGTGTACTCCACTATACCACAGACCTTCCAATTTGTAGCGAGACATGTCAACGATTATGCCATATTTTGAAAAGAACAGCAAACTAGTAAATGATTTTTCCTATATAAACTTTAAATATCTTTCTTCAAACAATTTGTTAAGTGTTAAATTTTAGATATTAGTACTGTGTGTAAATTTTACTGGCGTAGAATTTTTATAACAAATCTGTTAACTTTAAAGGTTTCTATATTTCAAGTTTGTTTATTAAAATCACTCCTGGGAAGTCAGAAATTGTTCAACACCTGGTACTAGTTTTAATTTAAACTTACTATACTAGCTTTCTTGATTACCACCAAATTCTTTCTTACGCACATTATATCAAGATTTTGTATCAGAAAGTAAAACAACAAGATATTTTAAAATACTTAGAACAGATTTCAAATGTATAAAAGGCATGAAAGAAAGTGAAACAGACTTCTAATCAATGTTAAGTTTATTTTATTAAAAGTTACAGCTTTTACAGTAATTGAAACGTCACACCTGTTCTAAAAAACGAATCTTACTTGCTGTAAAAGTTGTAACTTGTAATAAAATATACTTAAACAGTAAGTAAACTCAAAACGAAACTTTTAATGTTAAGTTTAATATAATTCATTATTCTATACAATGTTTTCTTAATAAAACTTATGCTAATGTAATGGTATAAACTGTATCAGTAGTGACTTCAATAAAGGGCCAAAAATGGTGTGGTATTGTCGGGCGAGACTGAATTTCCTTAGTGGTTGGATAAGTCCGTAGAATGATAGAAAACTTGAAAAGATATTTTATAGACATATTAAGAGGAATAAGGAAAGTCTGTTTCCAATGCTCAAACAGCTTCAAAGTATATTACTGCATATATAAATAGTGTATTTTGTCTTTCAGCATCCAGCCCAACTGAAGTTCTGGAATTAAACAAAAGGCCTCCTAGGTAGTGACTTGCGGGAAACAAGAGATAGATATATTAATATCTGCTGTTAATATCATTGTACAGCATACAACATTATGGCCATACTTCCTGCAGGCTAAACTAGGTTTTATTTCAAGGAAATGACAAAGAACAAATGTATCTTGAAAACAAAAAACACTTTAATGACCTTCTTGGCCACATGTTATGCAAAAAACTGCACATACCAGAATGAATAATAAATTTTGAATAATATTGTACAAAGACAAGAATGTAGAAAACCCATTGTATGCCTATATATATCACAGTGGTAAGGCCTCATTTCAAAATATTTCCCATATGTTACCTTTTTTTTTTTTAATTTTATAGTGTGCCTATTTTTCTAAGTTGAAAATGTGTGTATACGAACAATACAAACACACCTTTACCTGTCATCATTTCTACCACGTAGTGGGTTGTCACCACCAAATCCTGGAAAGTTGATATGGTCCTTGATAAACATAATATCTCCAACAGTGAAATTCCGATTCAATCCACCAGCAGCATTGGTGACTATCAACGTCTTTACACCGATCAACTTCATCACTCGTACTGGCATTGCACACTTTAAAATATAAAGTTATTTGACACTCCACTTTATTATTCATATTTGTTTCTCAAATTGCAATGATACTCTGCCCCAATAAAATAATTGCTTCTTAATTGGGGGCAAAATTAACCCAGAAAAAACCCAATGTGTAGCTAGTCGAAATTTTACAACAAATACAATTACAGCATAATTAAACCTGAAAGTTAAAAAAGAAATAGTTAAAATGTCTATAAGATTAAGAGAAATATGTTGTCAACATTTTGGCCAAATGATTTTTTCGAAAGATAAAAAGCTATCACTACAAATTAGGAAAGAGAAATAAAAATTTCATTAATTAGATTTAATTCCAACATATTACTTGATATAATATTATTCAACAACCATTTCCTGAAAATTCCTTATACTCCTTTCCTTATTTCTAAATTTAAAAAAATTGTGATACATAAGATATGCATTAATTACTGACCAATGACAAGTCAATAAATAATTGAGCAAGATAGTTAAAAACCTTAACTTTCAATCACAACAACCTATTAAGTATGAAACTAAAAATTAACCTGGCTATCAATTGATGTAATTAAATATATGTTTCTATTTATAAAGATTAGAATGCATTATTTCATCAATTAATGATATTTTTTGTTATAATCCTATTAACATCTAACGAGGTTCAGCCAGTCTAGGAGACTTAGGTTAGTCCTAAAGTCATCACAGTATTTGTAATAGAATTATAATAATAGCACTAAATAATAAACAAAATTAATGACAGTATACAAAGCCATATTTTTAAAGAAAATAAATAAATAAGTAATATACTATTGTGTTACCTGGAGAACACAATGGATATGAAAAATACAGAGTGGTTGAAATACGAATATTATACATTCTTATAATTTTTGAAAATCCCTAATGGGCTAGATAAAGAATGTAGTGTTTAAAAATATAATAATAGACCTAATACTAATGTCTTATGGTAAATACACTAGCTGTTGTCTTGAAATACTGTCATAGAATAAATCTGTTTGGAAAATATGAACTTCCTTGTTTTATCATTTTCTATTAACTTTTGCAACAAAATATCAAATAATGAAATAGCAGTTTTAAAGCAATATGTAAATTTTTTAAGAGCAATACTGGCAGGGTGCGTTAACTTTGATGACAGTGAGGTTTATATGCTGAAAAAATGTTAACTGTTTTCATATTTGGAATCATGTGATGTTAGTTTATTATTGGATGATTCTAGAAAAGGGGGAGTGCAGGGCTTTATATCTCTGAGGGTTGGAAAATCTATAAAAAGTTGAACAAAAGTTATAAGTACTTTCCTATACATTTAAAGAAATTATTTCAAAAATTAGTGGTTATTAAGACGGGAAATTTATTAGTAAGTATTTTTTGTTTTCTTTTACAAAAATATTCATCCCCCTTCCCTTCCTGTAACTCAACCAGGCTATAAAAACCACACACATCACCAAGAAAGTTGCTTAAACATTTACTGTTTTAGGAAAGACTGCTGTTTGGATTGGGGGAGGGAGGGGCTAAGAATGATTGACAAACAAGAATTATTTAGCATACTGGAAAGAATGCAAGACAGCAATCAAATTTCTATTCCAATACAAAGGCAGTAAAGCTATGAATATCAAAATAATCAGTGTAAACTTTGACAGCATAAATGCAAAGTTTTTTGTTGTTGTTTATCAGAAACAAGGATACTTAAAGAGAAGTAATAACTTTACACAATCATTTGTTTCATGATATGTTGTATGCTAGTAATGAACATTATTTTTGTAGGTTTTTTTCACCCCTTAAACAAGTTAGTTTATAAAATAAAAAAACATTAAAGTCATATGATGTCACTTTGAATGGCAGTTTTGGAAATTCGGTGGGCTTGTACATTTTTATACTCTAAAATACAAAATGTTTTTTTGAGTAACAGATTTGCTATCAAATAACATTTTATGAGGATGCCTTTGTTAGTCACAACCAGAAGTTTCATTTTTTCATACCATATACATGCTTCTACAAAATATATATTAAAATTAAATAACTGACTTACTTTCCAAACGGAATAACCTTCATATACGTGGAAGCGTCCTTGCATACAGATGATCGATTTTCCATTCAAGTTACCAAAAACAAGCCGCCCCGAATGCCCAGGTACTAGAAATAAAGCAAACAACATTTTTATAATGTCATATAAATGTGATGAGAAATACCTATATAATCTTAGTTATCACACACATTTCACATGTGCAAGCTTCCCTATCCATACATGTGTATAATTACTTTGTCTACCATCCCATCTGTTAGGAAACAACACCTTAAGGTAATTCATACAGCAGTAGAAACTACTAGCACAAAGATCTCCACCAAAACTCGTATCTGAAGAGAGGTTTTGATGTAATAAAACCAAGTATAACTTTCAAAAGCCTTTAGTAAATTGTGCATTTATTTCAGGGTCTCATTTAGTACAAATGTAAGCATATATTCTTCCAAAAACTGTGGAAAAGAAGAATAACATTTTAAGCAGAAAACTAATTATCATTATTTATTGTCACATAAATAATTTGTTTAAGTCACAACAACAACAACAAAAAATATATATATATCTGTAAAGACGAAATGTGTGTTTGTTTGTATCCTAACTCTTCCAAGCCTATTGGGCTAATCCCAACCAAAATTTGTATGTAAGGGGGTCAAAATTGAACTTAACCCTATTTCTATTTTGTAAAGTCTGTTGGTTCAAGTTATTGCTTTGAAAAATAAATTTGCTGTTAAACTTACATTGTTTTAATTAAGTTTAAACATTCCCTGTCAGTTGATGGGTATTTCAGCTTGTATATATTTTAAAAACATGTAATAAAACTCTTTATTGCTGTTAATTAAAAACATGCTTTTACATATGCGTGTTTTTATTTATTTGTTTTAAATTAACAGTAATAAATTTTTTATGATATTTTTATACTGTTTCACTTCTATTAATCTTTTCCATGAGCAAAATATATTTGACTCCTTGTATATATATATATACACACATGCAGTAGGAGCTGTATTTTACCTGTGCTAACTGGAAAGTCAGGAATATCTTTATAAGGAAAGATCTCTTTATCTTCTAACATGTCAGCCAGTCCACCCATCCCAGTACCACAGATGATACCAATTTCAGGTCTCTGTTTGGTTCGATCCAAAAGGAACTTAGAGATAGATTCAATCCTCTCATATGAATATCTGTTAAATGAACGATAAGTATTTCAATCTCATGAACATAATTACAGCATGCTATATGTACGAATATAAAAACCAGCCAATCAATTTCAGACACCTATTGAAGTATCTAACAAATGTACAATATAAGTTTCACATTTATGTGTTATCAAACAATACAGCAAAATCATAAAGTTTACCAGACACGTATGACTAGTTATAATAACAAAACAGATGTTTTGGAATGTTAGTTCCATGAAATAACCGTGTCCACTCAGCTACTATTATATATTTATTATTATTGGAAAACAAACAAATGTGAAACTGCAGAATATAGCCAGAGTTTATTAAAGGAACCTTGAGAAAATAGCAAAAGATTTCTTGACGATCTGTCATCAATTTTTCTTTTTTGCAAGTGTGAGAAACCAGAATACAATATAAAGAACAATTTATATCGATCCTGACATTAGATTAAAAAATACCATTTAATTTCCTTAAATGGCAGTTCAGGAGTCATGATTTCTAGTTTTTTGAAAATAAGTTTTGTTGACTTTTTTGTGAAAGCTTGAATTTTTATTACTCCTCATTAGTTGTGATACAATTCACATGTGACATGCATATATCTATAGATGTGATAATGATCTTGGAAATTGATACAGTGTTTAAATGGTTGAGAATATTGAGCACTTTAATAATGTTGTTATTATTAATTTGAATAATTTGCTGATTTAGGTATTTTATTTAACAAATTAACTCTTTCACACAATCTAAAATTCAATATTTAAGAAACAGAATTCTGTATTTCCTTTACTGCCACCTGTTGTCAGTAAATAAAATTAATTCTATGCAATTTCAGATTGAGTATTTTATTGTAACATGTATATATTTATCTACATACGAAAGGGTTATTATAAAAATAAATTGTACCCTTAAATTATTATCACTGATTGGGAGGGGTTATGGCAATATGACTTAAAACCATGGATACAAGTTTAATAAAATATCTGTACAACTTAAGATTGTTCTGTATCTGATTCTTACCCTATAAAAGGTCAGTGACTTCAGCAAGATGTTTGAAACGATAAGGAAATGTCTTAAGAAATTGGCTATTATCACTAATATTGAAAACATTTTCCTAAACTTTGTACCTGTTCCTTTACATGAGATCCTACAATGCCTGTGTAGATTTTAATTTCTTGGTAGACTGAATGGCATCTTTTTATTAATTTATAGGCTAACTTCAATACAAGAAAGGATTTGTTTAAAAAGCTGGTTGTGGATGTTGACTGCTAAGTACAATAGGATAAAGGGTCTTAAAGTATTTAAATGTTCTTACAGATTAATAAGATGATGAGATACAGTACTAAAGCTAAAAATTATAATGATTTCAGTATAAAATCTAATAAAAATAACACCCAATATTTTACTGAATAAGCTACTTTGTCCTAAGGACTTGGAATGTTTCATATTTTTTTTAATAATACTAATTTCCATTGAATTCATAAGTTATTAGTGTTACAATTTTGAGAACCTTTGACTTCATGAGGTCCATAATGGTCTTGTAAACATTATAGATTATAGTTTCAACAAGTTTTTTAATCAGAAAGAAAACTATACACATAGTTTTTACCACACACAAATGGAGTGGTACTATTATCTTCCCTTACAATTAATTTCTTTATTATTTTAATATCAGTATTCTATACATAGGAATACCACACCACAGAAATCACTCGTGGCTGATTTAACAATTCAAAATTTATTTTAATCTTGATATACTACATCTCAGCTTACGAGGTAATGGCTTAGTAACAGACCTATGAAATAGAAGCAATTACCAATGAAAATTTCAAAATAATTCCCATGATGCCTCGAATGAGTACATTCGTATGTCTACACATTTCTTATGGAATCACTAATGAAGGATCCAACCAAATGTCAAGAATAGCTAAGTTAAAAAATAATAATTCAAATTTTGAAAAAGTTAATATAAATACAATGACACTAAATAATAAGTACTTAAGAACGAAAAACAAGTGCTCCAAAAACAACTATTTATTGACTGAAGTAGCAAAAAAATAGACAAAAAAAAACATTGGCAAATATTTATTAATAACCTAATAAAAAGTGAAAACTCACTTGTTATATTCACCAGGTTCAGACCTAATAAAAATATTCAATAGACTATCAATACTTTCTGGAGTATGCTGGCTTTAGGTATTAAGTATTTAAACAAGGGATTTTTATTAGGAATAAGTTTGTTTTATGTGAACATATAATGGTATAAATAAAATGGTAACGTTTTACATGTAATTAGCTATGTAAGTATTGTGTATAAACTATATATACAATATCCCCTGGGGATTGTTTTGTTGGAGGATAAGAAGCAAAGGGCTGTAATAAATGGAGTTCAATCAAACCAGACAGGAGTTATATAAGTGGGGTACCCCGAGGCTCTGTACAAGGACTCTTACTTTTTTTTATATACATTAACAAAAACTAAAAGGTAATTGTCAACAAATTGGTCACGTTTGTTGATAAACTTTTCGGTGTAACTGGATGGGAGAAGGATGTTGTTTACAAAGGAATTTGAATCATTTGACAAATTGGGCAATAAAAGGCAGATGATATTTAATTATGCTAAATGCATGTAACCTTCCTTAATTTAAACTATAAATACCACCTTGAGGTAAAACAACTCAAGAAGAAAAGGATCTTACTGTTTTGGTTGATCAATCTCTCAAACCTTTCAGGCAGCAATATATTGTCAGTGGAAAAGTAAAAAGGATTTTGGGTTTTATCTATAAGAATGTTTAATACAAGTCAAATGAGGTTATTGTTTCTCTGTACAGACCTCTGTTTAGGCCTCATTTAGAGTATTGTGATCAGTCTTGAGCTCCATACTTTAAATTGGATATTGAGTTGTTGGAAATGGTTCAAAGGAGGGGTACTAGGATAATTATTGGGATGAAGGGACTGTCATATGAGGGCAAGTTAAGGTCTTTATGTTTAATGGTAGGATTAGGGTATATAGGAGAGTTCAGGAGAGGTACGAGTGTTTAGGGAGTTAAGGATAGATATATAAGCAGATAGATGTTTGATGAAATGAAAGAGACAGCTATAATGGGCCAAGGGATCCCTTGTCCCTCAAACGTTACGTTATGCTATGTTATTCATTGAGTAAAAGCAATTATTTATTAACTTGGACACCCATCTCAATTGGTTTACTGTAAATCCTGTGATAACTCATCTCTTGAGGAGAATATTGACATATTCTTTTACAAATTCTGTTTCGTTCAAGAGCAAATGCTAAATAGATAAGATGTAAGTACAAAACAAATATGTAAAACATAAAAACTTCAAAGTTCTTTGAGTTTATTATGATATATTGTAGTATTAATGCATATTTTATTAAGATCTAATTATTAGTAACACTTCAAATATGAACTTCAGAAGAATTCTCACAGTTGGCATTTGTGATTTTAATACTTATAAATAAGTAACTTTGCAAAATATTTCCATGTAAATTTATTTTTGAATTTTATAATATTAAAACTAGGTAAATTAAATAATTTAAAATATTTCAAAAACACTGTACAGTTTTTATGCTGCATTTAACTTCTGCTTGATTCTGGCATGTTGATTGTACTATATAAAAACAAAGACATGTAATAAATATTTATCAATAGTGTGCATAAGCTCTTTATGAGGTAGGAACAAAAGAATTTATCTTACACATACTCCACAAATATTCAAAGTTCAAATAAGATATGCCCAAGTTATAGAAAACTCCATCTGGTTCCTATCATACAATACCAATTACAATGCAATCTCTTATTTGTATGCTAACATTTTATACATATAAATAAATAAATAAAAAAACGTTGCTTAGAATACCAATACATTTATAATTAAACATTCATCTGATCTCTGTATATCAACAGGATGAATTTATATTCAGTGCACCATAGAAACATATATTCTTAATTTTATATTTATTGTTTCAAAAAACATTTATATGAATACGTATATGTTTGTGAGTAAACGCACTAACAGAATAAGTTGGAAAAAGTAAGTAAAATCAATGTGGAGAAACGATTAGAAAATCATCAAACACATTTATAACTTTGTTTAAATACACATCTAATGTATAAACAAGTTGAAACTGTTAAATACTATCCATTTTCATTAACACTACAACAGTTTATTACTGTAACATAAATTATTAGAAACAGTGTTATTCTATGTACAAAAATAAGCACCCACTTAGAAATTAGGTTACTTGCCTCTATGTTTTTGTTACTAAATATTGGTGGTTTATTCTAGGCTGATGTCTATGCAATTTTTTGAAACAAGTCTGTTTAGTAACATAACACAAAATCGCATGTATCTTATTCGTGTTTCGTCAATTCATTAGGCTATGTTTATATAATTTACGACCAACTTCTTTATCACTCGGAGTAGGAGAGTACCTACAATATGTAAACACCAATTAATTTCGATCCGAGATACCTAAAGTAAAAGTAAAACAAATATTTCACGATAAAACATGATACGCATACTGCCACCCCAGAGGTTCCAGCACACATAATTACATTGTAGTAATTGTACCACATACTGAGATAGTCTCATACAAATTACAAGCTACAATTATTGTTAAAGCTCAAGTTTAAATACGCTAATCCATAAATCAAAATTATATTTGTAATATCTAAAGCGGCAATTTTTTGCTCTACATTACACAACATTCACAGGTTTGCGATGTTTCTCAGAATCAGTCTTTGTAACGCTGACACAATGATACTGATAGTTAAAATTTAAACTCCAGTAATTGCGGTAATACCAGTACCATTACCAGTAAAGACTACAGTAGCAACGTGGTATTAGCCTAAGAAACTTCTGTTAGTCTTTACTTTCGTCGACGTATGACACAGTGGCATTACTTAGTTTAGTATACCATATCGTATGGCACACACAAAAAAATATTGATTTGGGTATTACTACTACTACTAGTTGCATTTACAGTGAGTGGATAATTCTGATTTTTCCCAAACCAATCAAATTAAATATATACGTAAAACATACCCATCGATAACATCTTCTATGGATTCTTCTCGAAACATTTTAACGCTAGTCATATTCTCCCTTTCACCAAAATATTACGTCACAGTGATGTGCTGTTAAAGTGAACACTGCAGAATTAACTCGTACAACACTATAGCAGCATTTACAACACGTAACGTTACCACAGTACGTCAGAAAGAAGTCGATAACAAGAAAATACGTCTGCTTTGAAAACGTGTCATAATACCGCTACCAGTGTGTGGTTGGAAATGTAACGCACATCCATTGATGCTTCTATTTGTTACAGTTATTGGGTTAACTTACTGTTATGAATTTGTCTGGCGTTTTTTTTTTCACTTATCATAATTTCATACACAAAAACCTTGAATTTTGAATAAATGAGCTGACAAGGCCTTCTTTTTCTACTTGGTTCAGGTATTTTTTTCCGCTTCCTACTAGCCTCTTTAAAAGTTTTTTCATTACCCAGTCAAGCTGTCTCAAAACTTTTATTAAAAGATGGGTTATTTAAAACCCAAAACATCCGAAATAAAATGTTTATTTTCACTATTGTCTTGACCTTCTTGTTGAAATTACGATTCCCTTTGAGTGAATTGCTGACCATATCTACAATTTGTTGGGACGTGTGTTTTTATTTGTGCTATATTTAAGCATTTATGTTGAACAAATAAAATATTTTTGAAACATTTATTTGGTTATAGTCAATTAATTTGCTAACTTCACACTCTGATAATTTTGATGATACTCCATGAATAATTTACTTATACACAACTTAAATTCTTTTTTGTTTTGCAGCGGTATGTCTGCGGACTTACAATGTTAGAAACCGGGTTTTGATACCTGTGGTGGGCAGAACCAGAGAGTAAATTGTGTAGCTTTGTGCTTAACTTCTAACAAACCAAAACTTTTTGTTTTTTACTCTCGCTTCCTTTTTTTAAGGTAGCAGAGAAATTAAAAATGACTAACATATTTGACAATTTTTATATGGAGCACATTCATTACTTTGCTCAATTAACATAATGGATTCAGATTTTTGCATTTATTGTAGTTTATTATTTGTAATTTAAATTAGACACGTTTTACGGCTGTTTTATATGCTTTTCCACAAAAAGCTCACGACGGAAAACTTGTAGATAATGTTTTCAGAAGACAGACACATTTTTCTTTAGGGAGGGGTTGAAAAAAGCGAGGAAATAAGTATAGATCTTGCTTCCGTGAGATGTGTAAAGATACATAAATGTATTTTTCTAAATAACTTTTTTCTTAATCTGAAAATCAGATTTGTAAACACCTTAAATAAAATTAATAATAATTAGAATTTACGTTCTTAATCTAATTCACAATATAACAGGTATTGCTCATCGAAATTGATGATATTGTAACGTCTCCGTTTGTTAATAAACTTTCCGTAACTTCGTTTCCGACGAAACTTTAGCGACACAAGTCCTTACTTGATA